CTTTATATGATGCCTTTTTTTATAAGGGGTAGAAATTAATTCTTTTTTTAACTCTGCGCCCTTATTCAGAACTTGATGTATTTTTATTTTCTTTTAATTGTATATAAAAAAATTAATGAGTAAAATAAATTAATAAAATATTTAAAATTTAATAAAAAACTGCATTATCAAATTGAAACACAAAAAAGTTCTAGCTGAATTTATTGTATATCAATAGTTGGAGTTATGAAGACTAGTGATTCATTAAAGTTTGTTTCAACTCAATTCAATAATAAACTCTAAAAACTCTGCAGCTGTGTTGTTGATTTCTAAAATTAGAATCCTCATCTTCCTAAGGCATCAAACATCTTCATTTGCTTTGACATTTTATCAAATTAAATTGAAAAGTGCGTACGATGTACCTTTTTTATTCATGGTGGGGAACTCTGCTGTTTCAGCTGAGTTCTTTGCCCTTTTTCTTGACTTTTTGCGACTCTTCTGAGATTCCAGCATCGACATGTCGGTCTGCTGTTAAATGAAGACACAAAAGGAAAAGTTCGTAAGCAGAGCTTTGAAGCACATCCTACAAAGTGTTTTACTTTTAATTCCTCATCACTTTATGGAAACACTGAGACTTTGCTGCTCTCAAAGCAAACTGACAGCTCAGCTCACCAAACAGCTTCAGCACCAGGATTACTTACAGCTGCTGCTTTACTGTCAGACTCATCCTCACACAGGTCGATCAGGACACTGCTCCCTGCAGGGCCTCTGCCTTTATCGATAAAGAAGCCTCCAGAGGACACCAGTGTCCCTGCGCTGGGAGGAGGGGGCGTGGCTTTGCTGGCAGGACTGCTGGGAGCAGAGGTGCCCTTACGATACAGAGACGTAAGAAGGTTGTTGGACTGTGGATGGAAAATAAAACGAACAAAAACCCAACTGTTAGTGTTAGATATCACTCTTGTTCAATTATCAAGAAGTCTACAAGCAGAAAGGAGTTAAATGTAACAATTTTGTTTAGGTATTAGAGTGGACTTCCACAGGAAAGTTATAAAAAATTTATATTGTTGCTGTTGTAGATTCAGTAACTCTAAAAGAGCCGAGTTTGCAAAAACAGATGAGCTAATAACTGGTCTGAAAAAGAACTCCCAACATTATTTATAGCAGCTCRTAGGAAATTATTATTTAAACCTTTCCATCATAATTAACTTCACAATACATGAAAAAAAAGTGAAATTAGGTCTAGATTTGACCCCAGGCAGCACCTTGCTGCTGCTTTTTGTGTTTGTAAAATGTCCTGAAGCATCTCAGTAATCCAGGTAAAAAATCAAAAGGAAAAAAAATTGTATAGGTCC